TTCATCCTATATGGTTGAGTGTAATGAGTTCTAGGTTTGCTAGGATGTGCTCTTCTAGTTTGATTATTTATCCTAGCATTTTTATTCCCCCTAGCTTTAACAAATGTTGTTTTTCTAGGTTGGTTTTTCTTATATCCAAGTCCTTCACCATTACTAACTTTTTGCTTAAGTATTTTATCTAAGGTGTTTGAAGCATTATTAAACTTTCCCAATTTGCTCTCTAAACTAGCAACCTTAGCTTTTAGTGATGTACAACTAGAGCATGTAGAAGAAGAAGTAGTTGAAGGTTCTAGTGGCCTTTTTCCAAAAGAAATAATTTCTTGTTTAAGTTTATCATTTATATTTTTGATTTCTTTTACATCATTCTCAAAAATCAGGATTTTTTGTTTAACTTCATTATTTTCTTTGGAAGCCTTTTTAAACATTCCTACAAGTTCTTCTACAATGCAAATAACATCATTAAGAGTTAGAGGATCATTGGGAGAAGGTTCTTGATCACGTACCTCTTTTTATGTTTCACCATCCTCAATGGCCATGAGACAAAGATTGGCCACTTCCTCCGTTTCCGAGTCTTCACTCCTGGGCCATCAGTCTCCCAAGAAATGTAGGCACGTTGCTTCTTCGGTGCCCTCTTGTCCTTCTCGTTCTTGAGCTTTGGACACATTTGTTTGATGTGTCCAATTTCACCACACCCATAGCACTTGGGTGGAGTGTTCTTCTTGGCTCCCCTCTTGAGCATCATCTTCTTGAATTTTCAGACAAAGAGTCCGAGGTCGGTGTCGTCGCTGTCATCATCTTCATCATCAACGTTGTTGTGGGATGATGTTGTTGCGGGTAGAGCAATAGACCTCTTGCTCTTCTCTTCAACCACCTTTGAGAGTTGGGTGGTTTCGTAGGTAATGAGATTACCTCGAAGAGCATCATAGGTTGTTGTTTGGAAGTCACGACCTTCTTCAATTGCGTCCACCTTTGAAAGCCATTTGGGGGATAGGCTTCACAGCACCTTTCTCACAAGCTCTCGGTCGGTGTATGTCTTTCCGAGAAGATTGAAAGGATTGATGATGTTAGAGAATCTCTCAAACACTTCCTCAATCTTCTCATTTTCCTTGATAGAGAAGAGTTCATACTCGTGAGTGAGGTGGTCTATTTTTGCCTTCTGAACCTGCGTGGTTCCTTCGTAGGTGACCTCCAATTTTTCCCACATTTGTTTTGCGGTTTCACACCGCGAGATTTTGCGGTAATCATCCGCATTAACACTGCAATAAATCATGTTTATTGCCTTTACGTTGAGCTCCATCTTTTTGCAATATTTTTCGGTGAACTCCTCTTCGGTTTTGGGGACGTTGACCTCACAGACTTTCTTCATCGGGACTCCGCATCCGTTCTTCACAATCAACCACAGCTTGTAGTCGTTGGATTGGATAAAGATTCTCATCCTTTCCTTCCAGTACGAGTATTTTGTTCCATCGAACAAAGGTGGTCTCGTGGTTGATTGTCCCTCGGTCACTCCTGCGTTGAACATCCTTGATGCCATTTGATCTTTTAGTTCCTGAAAAATAACATATTCGAAGAACTTCCTGCTCTGATACCAATTGTTAGACAAATGTGCAACTCTGGAGGGGGGGTGAATAGAGTTGTTTTCAAGAATGTGTGTTTTTCGCGTGTGTGAAATAATAAAATCGCAGAAATAAATAAAAGGAGTAAGGGAAAGAAGAATACCGAGATTTATACTGGTTCACCACCTCGTGGCTAGTCCAGTCCTCCGAGAGACTCTCTCGAAAGTCCTACTAATATTCAAGCTTCAACGGGTGCTTGAAAAACCGGTACAACTTGAGAACTTGAATCTCACAAGCCTCACTTTTCATACAACAACAAGACTTGAGTCACACAAGTCTTAAGAACAACACTCAAATAAGATTTAGTTTACAACACAAGAATGAAGCTCACAAAAGAGCAAGTAATGTTTAAAATGTAAGTTCTATGGATGACAATATCTTTGCACTCAAGAGAAATAATATATATAGATCTAGCTCTCAAAATAGTATTTGATTATCAAGAGATGGAGCAAGAATCAAAAATAATGAATGAGAGGATTGGACTGCTTGTATTGTGTTTTGAATGAAGGAAGAAGAGGGATTATATAGGTGAAAGAAGGATATGTCCGTTGGGGCAAGAAATTGGCTAAGTATGAGATTCAACAGACAAAAAATCGATTTGTTCAAAGAGGGAAAATCGATTAGATGCTTCTGGGTAAAATTTCTTCTGCGCTCAGGTGGCTAATCGATTAAATTTGAACTTGTTTAATCGATTTTTAAAAGAAATCGATTTCCCAAAATGTGAAGAAATCGATTAAAAAAACTGGGCAAGAAAACCCAATCAGCGACAGAGAGGAAATCGATTTTCAAACAAATAGAAAATTGATTAATACTGCGAATTTCTCAGAGACAGCAAGAATCAACCAGTGGCGAGATAGAGAAGGACAATTGTCCTTATTTTGTTGTTCCCAACATGATTCTTGAGACAAAGGCTCCCAATCAAATCCTAAGTTTATTCAAAAAATAATTTTGAATCAATGGGGTGATTTGAGATAAAGGGTATAGAAATTAAGTCCAAAAAATAGTTTGTGTGTCAAAGGATCTCAAAAACAAATATCTAGAGTAAAAGTATTTTTGCTTCCCAAAAGTATTTTTCTACTATCAAAAGAAATATTTAAAATTTTTTGACACATCTTTTGTAACTGGCTCAATAGATTTATTTTTGAATCATTAAAGGATTTTTTTTAATAGACTTCAAAAATAAATATAAGTTTTTTTTAATGAATATCCCTCAATAAAGTAAGTTTATAAGTAAAAAGATATTTTGTCATCCTTACAAATTTCCTAGACTCAAAGAAGTAAAAGTCTTCGGAAAGCTTCTCTTTACTTCAAGATCTTGCGTAGGGACAATGAACGGTAGTCGTTGTGAATTTCTTGATGTGTCTTTTGCTTTCTTGAACAGAAAATTAAATTTTCGTTCTTCGTAGCGTTTGTCATTTATCAAAACCTGAAAGATTAATTTCAAAAAAAAATATCTAAAAGCGTTTGAACTCATGTCCAACAGCTAGTTATGTCCTTGGCATAAGAATCTACCGAGATAGATCAAGAAAGTTAATAGGTCTGAATCAAAGTACATATATAGATAAAATCCTTGATCAATTTAGCATGTCTAACTCAAAGAAAGGATCTTTACCTATGACACCGGGCACGGTTCTTTCCAAGAGCTAGAGTCCTTCTACTCCCGAGCAGAAGGAACTCATGATGAAGGTTCCATACGCTTCTGCGATTGGATCCATCATGTACGCCATGATATGTACTAGACCTGATGTCTCATTCGCTTTAAGCGTGACTAGTAGATACCAGGGAAGTCCAGGAGAAGCACACTGGACAGCGGTCAAGAACATCCTCAAGTATCTTCGGAATACTAAGGATGCATTCCTGGTATACGGTGGTGAGGAAGAGCTAAAGGTGGTCGGTTACACTGATGCTAGCTTCCAAACCGACAGAGACGATTCAAAATCACAAGCAGGATATTTGTTTTGCCTGAATGGCAGAGTTTTTAGCTGGAAGAGCTTCAAGGAGGATACAACCGCCGATTCGACTACAGAGGCTGAGTACATAGCTGCCGCCGAGGCAGCTAAAGAAGCTATTTGGATCAAGAAGTTCATTACTGAACTTGGAGTGGTTTCTAGTATTAATAGGTCCATGGGCATTCGACCGATGCCAGATTGGCCATAGTGCAAGTGGGAGATTGTTGGAGTTGTGCCCTGATGGCCAACTGTTTATCATTATTCTATCATGTATAGGCAGATATAATATGTTTACACATCTCATGCTAATGTAAACAAATCTTATATTCCTAGATTTATATTTAAAGATGTTTATCAGATAGTGTTATTCTGCTAATGAGACTAACATCTTGAAATAAATATTTATCTGAATGTCCATAGTCGAGTATTAACGAGAGTGGGATATCATTAATGCATGTGAGACTAGTGTGTGTTGGATGTTTGACTTAGTCTCATAGTCAATGACGGTGTGTTCGCATCCGCACATGGGTAGATATTATCTGGAGATAATAGGATGCCGGACTGACCCATCTTAAAGATGTTGCTTGAACTTTTAGTTCATGCTCTAAGCATCTTTAGCGCGACCACGGGTGTAACTATCCTTCGACTTGAAGTATTATGTTTTCTGCATATGTGAACCCACATACTTTGATGCATCGTCCTAAACTATATGAAATAAGGATGGTATACATGCTTTGTTTTGGGTATGCCGCAACGCGTATTCTGAAACGTAGATTACGTACATAGGATTTGTCACTACTCTTTTTAAAGAGATTAATGTCTTATGGGGCCCACTAATAAGTTATGACTAAGGAAATTGCATGGCCATGCTGAGATGCTTTTATGACGTCTGTTCCTATTAGTCAGACTTGATAAATCAGTGAATGACTTAATGGATACAAGTTGGATTTTATTAATCCCTTGCATTAAGTTTAGACATTGAGACAAAGAGATACAGTTACACGAAGTGTGAGTCGTGGAAAGGTTTTGACGGTGCAAACGTCTTAACTTATAATATGGGGACAATAATGTGTTGCTAGATACCACTTATTGCTTATAGTGTTGGTGCAGAGCCAATACTGTGGCCAGCTTTATAAGTGCTTATACGGGTCACACACTTTGGACAATTCAAGGAGTAAGATTAAAACAATGGGATAATAAGTAATTTGTATATTTGTAAAATAGTAAAATAAAATATTTTGGAGTATAATATATATTATATATACGGTTTATATATATAATTAATATATATGATAACAACGAAATATATATATAAATATATTATATGTTGAATATTTTATTTTGGTTTGTCATTTTAATTATGAAAATAATTATTTTGACATAAACTATTTAAAGTATATTTGTATACTTGTTTAAAATGACATTGGTATTTTTATTTGATATAAAATTAATTTTTACATTAATTTTTGATGTCAAATAAAATACACTTTGAACATTTAAGTGGAGAAGAATTTTGAAAATCCTTCCCATATCATCTTGTTCGGCCATAAGGATTTAAAGGATCAAAATTAGTCTTTGATTAATAGTTCAATTTTTACCTTTAGCTTAATGACAAAAGTTTGATTAGTCACTTTGTATTGTTTTGTTTTCTTTTTGATCCACGGCACAATTGAGATAAAAGGGTGCGAAGATTATCAATTTGAGTAATCATAATATTCGGCCATAGGTTTTCTAGTGAGAGAAAAATATTAGTTTGGTTCTATTTATATCATTTTGTGTATAGAAAATATCTATAATATTTTCTAAATATTATTAGAAATATTTTCTATAAGAAATATACAAGATTATTATTATCCCAATTTTAATCTTTTTATTTTATACTACTATAATTTTTACTAGCATAAAGATTGTGGTAGACTCCGGCGTTGTTCGTGTGTCAAAGTTGGAGACCGGACGCTTGAACGGTTATGTTTGCACTTTCAACGCTCTTCCTACGACTTCTTCGTTTTTACCGCTTACGGAGAAAGGTATAAATTTCTTACTACTATATGTTTTACTACGTGATTCTCGGCAAGATAATCATGTTAGGATGTTAAAATTTTTTATATTCCGCTGTCTATCCTTGCATGGTTACCTTTCAGCCTATTGTTCTTGATATAATATAGATATGGAATCATAAGTTGGCCTCCAAGGCTCACTTATATTCAACATGGCTTGCATTTATAATATCTGTTTGTTCGATCAGACAACACCATTCCTCTACTACAGCACGCATGCACAGTTCGTCATCATGTGCTTCAATCGTGGGATGCGTTATCTGATCGAAAAAACCATTACGACCGTGTTGGGAAAATTATTATAGATTTTAACGATGATGTATTTAGATTGTAATATGGACTTTAGGTCACCCCCAATATTCAATGTAATTTTTCTTTTTAGAAATATTGTTAAAACCGAGTTCTTAAGATTTCCAATAAAGTTGTGATATTTCACTATGTGGTTTGATGTCAATCTTTGGAGACTTAATCAAATTCAGTGATATGGAAATTGGAATTCTTGATCGGATATGCCATAGACAAGCAAGGAATTCTCAAAGCAGTTGATTACTTTGAAGATTTTCTAATCCGGAACACTACACAGTAACTGGATGTATCACTATAATCCGCTGAAGGCTAAGTCATCCGGATCGACTAGCGCGGATCTCTTTCTCACCTGGATGTCTATGAATGACTTTTCCGGAATTGCCAGCAAAGAACCGGATGCCTCAAAGAAGACCGGAACTCTCAGAAGCACACTAGTGAGAATAGACTTAGAAAATTTATCTAAGTCTTGAATGAAGAAATTCTACCCGTTGGTAAGGAAAAATAAATCTCTTGATTTACAACGGCTAGATTGAGGATAATTAAGCTGATTCAAGAACAAATGACTTGAAGACAAAGTCTAGACTTCTCAAATTGAAGAGCTCGCCCAGGTTTCCTAAACAAACACAAGAAGACAAAAGGAGTACTCCACTCATTTAAGAGCTACAGTCCAGAATTCTTGAACAACAGCTAGAAGACGGATTCTGTGGAAAAAGGAATCCTTTTTTAAACAAATTGGGTATGTCCAAACACCCACTCCAATGAAGAATCCTCAATCACACTCTTCGTTCAAATTGAAGCCAACAAATGCAATGGATAGTCTATTTTGATTCAACGGATAGATTATCCAATCCAGCCATATATATAGCTTCTATGGAAGACTGGAGAAAAGATGAGATAGCAAGCAAGATTATAACAACGACAAACTACAACTATCTCATTCACAGTTAGCCTAAAAAGCTTGATAAAGAGAGATTTCTAAACTCCTTATCCAGAAGCAAACTTCTCCTCCTTCCAAAGAGCTATAGTGTAAACACTTGAAGGTTTCCTTGCCTCAAGTACCACACCACGTTGAAGGATACAACTTTTAATCAAACTTCTTGATTAAAAAGGGGGTACATCAACTTTCCTACAAGTTAATCTTGCAAGTCCTATTGTTCGGATCTTGCAGTTGTTGAAGAAGCGTGACCTTCGAAGGAACAACAAAGCCAGCACGAGTGCAGTAGCAACATTGGCCTTGCGAAGATATACCGTGCAAAAATTCATACAAGTGTAATTGTTGGTTCATTATTCAACAACCAACTACATAGTGGATTTTGAGGACGTAGAAGGATTACCCCACCTTCGAACCTCGTTAAAGTTTGCGTGTCTCTCTCTTTTATCTTTACTCATACTTGAAATTATATTAACTGTGAAACTAGCCCATCCATATTGATTACTGCTCTAATAACCCACCAACTTCCGCACACCATCTAAAGTTCACAAGAACTCTAGATTAACACTCATTTTCACGTTTTCAAAAGAAACGAAAAAGTTTTGAATTTGTAACAAAGTCTATTAACCCCCCCCCCCTCTAGACTTTGAATCTCACCACTTTGGGAACACCAGACTGTTTTATCTTATCGAAAAAACCATTACGACAGTTAGAGAAAAACAACATACTTGAAATATCCATTTCTATCAATCAATGAAAGAAAGGTAAGAAATTCTGATGTGGGTAAAGAAGCAGGATTGTAAGATATGGAATACATTGCTGAAGAATTTTAAGTGTGTAGATAATGAAAACAGGGTATGTGGGATGCTTATAGGGGGGATATATGAATTTAAAGAGGTGGGGTAAGTGGAGTACTTATAGGGGCGATTGGGAAAAACAAAATAATTAATAATAATTATAATAATAATAGACCGGGCTATTGAGATAAATAAATTTCCTAGAAGAATTAAACTTCAATTGTCTTGACTGATATTTGAATGCATTTCGAACTTAATTTAATTCGGGTAGATAGAGAGTGGTCAAATTAGCTTTTTTTACTCTCGTTGATTTCTAAGAGTTCAGGAGGTTAAATGAGCTTTTAATTTCGGTAATTAATTAGAAAACTTAAATAATAATGGTATAATAATCATAATAATAAATATAATAATACTAATAATAATAATAATAATAATAATAGTAATAATAATAATAATAATAAGAATAATAGAAAATTATAATAAGAATAATAATAATAGAGAGGGCCGTTGAGATAAACAAATATCAAAAATGAATAATCTTCGACTGTCCTAACTAATATTTGAATGCATTTCGAAGGGACTTTACACCGTAATTAGTTATTAATTAACATAATAATAATAATAATAATAATAATAATAATAATAATAATAATAATAATAATAATAATAATAATAATAATGGAGAGGGGCGTGGAGATAAACAAATATCCAAAATGGAGAGGGACTTTACACCATAATTAGTTATGAATTAACATTATATATATATATATATAGATATATAGATATATATATATATATATATATATATAATGGATTCTAGAGTGAGAAAGCCACCGGAATCTTCTGGTTTTCCGGCCAGAACTCAGTTTCACAAGTTAACTCCGGTGACATTTTCAGTCAACAAGTCTAACTCTCAAGAAAATGGTCAGTCTTTTACAAATGATCTCCGGTACAATATAGAAAAGAGAGAACTGTTCTCCAATCTGGTTCCTTCTCAGGATCTGCTTCTTGGTAAGATTCTTGGCAAAGTCAAGGGATTCCCCTCCATCTCCTTCAATGCTGAGGAAACTAACCACCTTGCCTTAAAGCTTCGTCTAGCACTGGTAGGAAGGAGCAACAAGAAATTGGACCTGCAGATGATAAGCAAGACTATGATCAGAATTGGATTTGCAGAATCTATTCAGCTTCAACTACTAGCTGGTAATGACATCCTATTTATTTTCAAAGAAGAGTGGGATTTCCAAAGATTTTTCCTTAAAAGACAGTGGTTCTTTGGTAATGTGGCTGTGAAAATCTTTAAATGGTCTCAAGATTATAGTGCTAATAAGGAGAATCCCAACATACCTTTATGGATCACAATCAACAGACTTCCTCTTCATCTCCTTGATCCAGGTGCTCTGTTTCAACTCTTTTTCCTTCTAGGCACTCCTTTAAAAGTGGATTCAGGTACCCTATTACACCACAGATTTGACTCAGCCAGGGCTTGTGTCATTGTTGTTATCTCTTCTCCTCTTCCCTCCTCCGTCCATGTCAAATTGCACAATAAGGATTTCTTTTTTCCCTGCACATATGAAAAGGTCCCATCCTTTTGCCACTCCTGTTTTACTCTAGGTCACAATGCTTCCTCCTGTGTACCATCCCCTCCGGCAAAGGAGAGTGCCGGAAAAGGTATGGTGGGCATCCCTGTGGGCATCTCCTGTCAGAAGGATAATGGGTTGTTAACTGTTACCAAAAAGAAAAATCCAAGAGTCTCATCTGTCCCACATCCCAAACCCCCAGCAATACATTATTGGAAGCCAAAATCACTTATTAGCTCAGTTATTCCAAATACTACGTTTCAACCATATAAGGACAAAGCGGCTGGCCAAAAGGTTATCCCAGTAACGTTGAGCCCATTACCTGGAAGGGAAGGCAATACCTCTGGTAAAAGAAAATCTCCTGTGGAGGATGAGGTTCTTACCTCTTCACCTCAGGCTACGAAGGAATTACTAGCAGACAGGATCATCTTCTCCCACCGTTCAGAAACTGTTGAAAGAAAGGAAAGTCATAACTCTGAGCCTTTGCCTCTGCATAACAAATTCTCCCTATTAAGAAACTTAAGAGAGGAGGTTGGACATTTATTCTACAATAGCCATGATGATTCACACCACATGGAGGATACTAGCCGTGCCACATTTACAATCATTAAAGCAATGGGTCTTGATGAGGAGGCTCTGGAACTGGCAGATGATGATGAAGAGACCCCTCCTGTTTACCACTCTGAGGGGGAAATCCAACCTTCTATTATGGATCCTTCCCCTATCCAAACTCTTCCTGCACAGTTAGAAAGGAAAATTAAGGCACTGACTCAGGCAAAATTTTATCCTTCATTTAGTGTTCTCACTAGAAGTCAAAGCAAGAAATATGGAGGTCTGCCCCACCCCCTGCCCTTATCATGAATTTTTTATTCTGGAATATTAGAGGGATAGCTTCTTCTCAAGCCAGACTTCTATCCCTCATTAAAATGCACAAAATTTCTTTTCTTGCCATTCTTGAACCCCTTGTTAGCCAAAACAAACTAAACAGATTCTCCCTCTCTCTCAACTTTTCTAAATAACTTTCTGCCCTGGACAACAAAGCCTGGATTTTCTGGGATCATAATGCCCTACAGTTAATTGATTCTAGAATGGGTGACCAAGCAGTAACCTGCTGTTTTAAACAGGTCGACTCAGATATAAAAGTGTTTATCACCTCAGTGTATGGTAAACACAGTTACATTGATAGAAGGATACTTTGGAAGAACATTGAGGACCATTTTGTGGAAAATGACCTTTGGTTAGTAGCTGGGGATTTCAATGCTATTCTAAGTCATGATGATCATCAAGGGCTCTCCTTACCTGACTCCCTGAGTATGGAAGAATTCACACAGTGCATGGACCTTGCCAACTTATCCCCTATCAATCCTGATTCTATTACATTCACCTCGACAGGCATAAGAGGAAGAGGTCAGGTTTGGAGATGTATTGACTAGGTCTTTGTCAATCCACCTATGTTGCAGCACTTTGAAAGCATCACCCTACAGAACCTAAGCAAAACAGGTTCAGACCACTGCCCACTCTTGCTTAAATGCTCCACTTTCAAGGAAGATGGTCCTAAACCATTTAGATACATCAATGCTTGGGCAAACAACTCATCTTTTTTGCCTCTCAGTGATAAGTTCTGGAATGACAACCCTAATTATGGTGGAATGCTTGGTCTTCACCAAAAGTTCAAAAGGTTAAAAGTGGTTCTCAAGGCATGGAACAAAGAATCTTTTGGCAATATTTTCTCTAATCTCTCTCAAGCTGAGGAGAAAGCAAAAACTGCTGAAAATATTTTCTCTAGTGACCCCACTTCAGCTAATAGACAGTCTCTCTACAAAGCTCATGCTGAGCTACAATATGCAAATATTAATGAGCTTTCCTATTTGAAACAAAAATCCCATCTTAATTGGATGGAACTTGGAGATAGAAACTCTAAATTTTTCCAATCCTATGTTAAAGGTAGAAGACATTTGCTGAAAATAAGGAAAATCAAAGGGGAAAATGGAAGATGTATAGAGGACACAGAGGGAATCAAGAAAGCAGCTGTGGAACACTTCTCAAAAGTTTTCTCAGCAACATCTACTCAAAACATCTCTGAAATACTCAAATACATCCCTCTGTCGATTTCTGTTGAAGACAACAACTTCTTAACTGCTCTACCAGACAATGAGGAGGTGAAAGATGCAGTTTGGGCTCTGAACCCAAACAGTGCCCCTGGTCCAGATGGCTTCAGTGGAGATTTTTTCAGGAAAACTTGGCATATTATTGGCAATGAATTATGTATGGCTTCTAAAGAATTTTTTCTTGGTATCCCTGTCCCTACAGGTTATGGAGCTACCCGGCTGTCCCTTATCCCCAAAAAAGAATATGCAGCCTCCTTTGAAGATTACAGGCCAATATCTCTATCTACTTTCCTTAGTAAAATAAACACCAATATCCTGGCTTCAAGGATACTGAAAGTCCTTCCCAAGATAATCTCAGATCAACAAATTGCTTTTCAAAAGGGTAAAGATATTGCTGATCATATTCTTATGGTGGAGGAAATGTACCATGAGATCAACAGGAAGGTAGAAGGAGGTAACATGATCATTAAGCTTGACTTATCTAAGGCTTTTGACAGGCTAAATTGGGAATACTTAAGGGGCATCCTGGGAGCTTTTGGATTCAATGAAAAAACTCAAAATCTTCTCTTAGCTAACCTGAAAGCAACAAGATTCTCCGTCCTAGTCAATGGAACTCCTTCAGGTTTTTTCAAGATGGCAGGAGGGGTCAAACAAGGGGATCCCCTATCCCCACTCCTCTTTATTATTGGTCTGGAAGGTCTTAGCAGGTTACTCATCTCTCACCACCATTCAGGTTACCTTTCTCCATTTAATGCAGGAAGAGTCCCCAACCCTTCACACCTTGCCTATGCTGATGACCTAGTCATTTTCACTAATGGCAGAGTCAGAAATCTCCTCAGGTTGTCCAACTCCATTTCTAGCTTTCTCCAAGCTTCTGGTCAGAGGGTCAACTTACTTAAGAGTAAATTCTACACTTACTCTAGCATCTCCCCACAAGCACTCTCAGCTAAGGAAAGAGCATTAAAGATTCAACATGATAGAAATCACTTAAACTATCTTGGGGTCCCAATTTGTAAGGCAATTTTAAGAAAGGAAGACTGTGGCTTCCTTATAGAACACTTTGACAGATTACTATCCTCTTGGTATAACAAATCTCTCAACTCAATGGGTAGGCTCACCCTGATCAAATACACTCTTTCTTCTATTCCCTTGCACCTTATGTCTGTTCATAAACTCCCTAAATCAATATCCTCAAACTTGATGAAAAGGATGGCCAATTTCCTTTGGGGCGGGAGGGAAAATCTAAACACCATTGGGTCTCTTGGACGAAGATATGTCAGCCAACAGAATGAGGAGGACTGGGGATAAAACACTTGGATAACATACAAGAAGCATGTGCACTAAAGCTATGGTGGAAAATAAACAATAACTCAGGTATGTGGGCAGAATTCATGAGGAAAAAATACTAGAGGGATGGCGATTTCAGTATTAAGCCTACAGATTCACCAACATGGAGGAGAATTGCTAAAATTCATACCCTTGCTAGAAATTTCACTTACCTTTCAGATGGCCATTACAGATGGAGGAATGGGGAATTTTCTTTCAGCAAGGCCCTTTCAGCTTCCATCAATAGCTACTGCTTGACCCTCTCCAGCAAATTGATTTGGCATAAACTGCAGGTCCCCAAAATCAGCATCTTCCTCTGGAAACTTCACTCCGACGCTCTCCCCCTTTCACACAACTTGAAAAAAATCTCGATTCAACTTCCATCCTTTTGTCATTTGTGCAAGAGGAATGATGACTTGCCACATCACTGCTTCCTACACTGCCCAGTTGCCAAAGAAGTTTGGAGCCACTTTATCCAAATCCTATAGGGGCCCAAAATCAACACTAATCTCAAAATACACCAATACCTTTTGCAGTGGTTTATCAAAGCAAAAGGGAAAAGCTTCACAGCTCATCTTCTTAGCATAATCCTAGGTATTATTGTATGGACTCTTTGGAAAGGAATAAATGAAGCAATCTACGACTCCACTCCCAGCTCATCCTCGAGAATGATAAACACAATCCATTGGGAAATTCAAGGTTGGATCTGGATTCACAGAAAAAAGAAGTGGATGATCTCTGAAGGAAATGCAGACTCACATTTCCCAAATCGATTGTGGTTGAACGGGAAGCGTTTGAAGATAGGCTTAATTCCAAATGACGATAACTGATAATTGGAATTTCTATTTTTTACTTTTGAGTTTAGAAGTTGACGTGTAATACTTTCCTCTAGACGTCTGAGGCGTTGGTCTGGTCCTCCTCAGACGTGTTCCTTGCTCGTTTTGATGTTTTTTAATAAATTACTTTAATATATATATATATATTTATATTGGGTGTGGTTCTAGTAAGAATGAATCACAGTGAAAGAAATAAGAATGAATCTTAACCCTAGTATTAAGTGCATCGATCGGCTGAGCTATTTAATGATTTGGAAAACTACACATGAGGAATGCTAGGGGTACACCATTCACCAAATGGTGTACCCCATTTGTCCCCCACCCCTTTCTCCACCACTCAATTTTTTTTTATTTTTATTTATTTAATTTTTTTTTATTTTCTTGCCTTTTATTGTGGTGATGGAGGAGGTGGGGGACAAATGGGGTACACCTTTGGTGTACCGAGCATTTTTCAACTACACATATATGTTTTGCGGTAACTAAGGACCATATGCGATCAAATAGGGATAGGTCAAAAAAGAGGGGCATTTTCGTAAAGTAAGGATGCGTTAAAATAGTTAATGATTGAATGGATCAACATCATCCACTCACACGCACTAAAAAGGAAGATATTGAGTAGATCAACATTTATAGGACCATGCTACACATACACCAAAAAATATACTTCATTTGTACATCACAGGCTTGCACAAACATTTCGATGGTTTACACTGTGTTGGTGCGTTAATAAAAATTACACGGACACAAATGTTGGTGCGTTTAACAAAAATTAGTTTTACATCAACACAAAATGTTGGTGCAAAACTGCGGGGTACAAATTGGAGTACAAAACTTGGGGTACACATAGCATAATCCACATTTTTAACTCATTTTATTGAATCGTTTCAATCTTTGACATATAATTAAATAAAATTTATATTGTATATTAATTAGATAAAATAATATTTCGAAAATATTTTATACCCCCATGTCCCAAATTTGATTACAATTTTATTTTATGAATATATAATATTATTTTGTTTGATTTGGAGCCAAAGTTTACTAATTTGATAAAAACAAATCAAAAGTGGAGATTAAATTCGACCCTCCGGGAGTAATTATCAAATTCGACCTTCCGGGACACCGACCATTGCCTTGATCGATTTTCTTCAAATTGGAAAGCAATCTTGTTGGAGTAGAAGATAATCATGGGAGATTAACAAAACTTGCTACAAACTGTAATGCGATGGTGATGAAAACACAGAGACGCGTTGATGATACACCATCATCGGGTATGTTGGCTTGATGTGTTATATATGTAAATGTAAAAATTCTTGAACGTATGGTTCATACACTAAATAATTTTTATTTATTATGTTAGAATTTGGGGATTTATGGGGTTGTGTGAGAATGATTGTTTCACGCCCTATGGTGCGCTTAGGGTTTCATGGTGTGTAGCGGCATTAGGTGAAAATTTGCATGGTGTCATAAAAAATGCATTACGAAATGACATCTTATTATAATGCATCATGAAATGACAAATTAATGAGATATATAGTTGTTAGAAATGCAGAGTGTCAGGGTTGAAATGCACTATTGTTAGCAATGCAGAGGGTCAAAATTGAGCAACGCATGGGTGCAAGAGCAAATGTGGAGAACGAAAGCATAACTCAGACGAAGTAGCACTATCTTGGAGGGACTCAAAGCAAATGTGTAAAAGAAAATTGATGATTACACTGAGTACAGAAGGTAAGAAGAAAAGAGGAAATCTAAGAGAGAATCCTTTAATTTTGCCTAATATTTTTTTTAGATTTAGAATGTTAGATTTCGTTTAATTGCAATGTAAAAGTTCATTTAAGCACAGACTAGAGTGTGCATTGTTGTTTTTAGCTCATGTTGTATACCTTAAGTTAAGAGTGTACTGTATATGTGTACTGATGCATTCGATTAAAAATATTGTACATTTTCGAGTACCCATAGTGCATATGTTATAAAGAATCCATCTTGATCCTTGACACATAATGAGATTATTGTTGACAATCTCTTTTACAATAATAACAAAAAACATCAATACAATCAGAAATGGTAAAAACTACTCATACATTCAAAAATGGTCGTAGAAGAGTTCCTATTATTATGGAACTCAAAATCCCTAAATGTTCTTCTTCCTCTGCTCTATAGCGGCTTTTGGGGGTAATTTTCCAATATGTTTTTTGTCATCATTTCTACAAAGCACGCACTTGTGGTACTCGTAAAAATGCCAACCCTCAAATCCATCTACTCACACATAGTTTTGTAAAGTTAAATTCCATCGACAACATTGTGGAATAGTGTACCATGCCCATGATAATGAAAATTGAGAGGAATCTTCAAGTACATTAAAGAGACATCCTTGTATGCAGCTGCGGGCAGTATAAAAAACATAGATAGCATTACAGTGCATTTAAATAGATATAATTTTATTGCCAGAGTTAAATCGTAAAAATGGCATCTTATAAGAGAGTGAAAGTGCAAGAACAAAAATTTAAGTGTGGGGAGAGTAGAGCTAACCCACACATAATATGGAACACAAGATTTTGCCTACACTGACACAACTTGGGCACAACACCCTGGATGGTGGAAGCATGCAGTACCAAGAACATAAAATGTATTACAATGCTTTTAATTATACATATTGTTACATCTAGAGATAAATATAAAAAAATGGCATTGTACAAAATGAAAAATCCTCACCAACAAATAATGAAATCGTATAATCAATGGTTGAAAATCACAAAGTAGATATTAATAAATGTATTAAAACACGTACAAAATCAAATTTGTATCTTGTAGCCCTTCTAATTACGGAGTACAAACTTAGTGAATCGAGACATCAAACTCTAAGAATCCAAAAGTGAATGAAATAATGAAAACTGGAATGTGGAGAGAGTTGGCCTATAACACATAATGGACAAAAATTATGCCTAAAAGTGAACACAAACTTGTGTCCATCATCCTATTCGGCGGATGTATGCAGTGCGAACATCACAGAATGCATTACAATGCATAATAGTACACATACCATTGCAAACAGAGTGAAATATGAAAAATGCACCATAAGTAAAACTTTGCACCTCCAAATAAAGAAACTACATGATCAAGGGTTGAAAATTAGAGAACAGATATACGGAATGTGTGAATGCAAACATGAAATCAAAATTTTCATAATTCAATTTATAAATACAATGAATTAAAAAATCGGATTCTAAGAATCGGCCAAAAGAGTGAACACAAAGGGATTAAAAACTTAAGATGTGGAGATGGAAACAAAGAAAACATGCACCTGATGCTAATTATGACTATTAAAATTGATAAACCTTCTCATCAGACATGAACACCAAGAACAAAAAAAACAAGAAGAATTCCACCTGTAAATTTAAGGCGAAAAACGGCTTCTGGCAGAGATGCTTAAAAAATTCAAGATGAAAAACTAAGATATCCCTACCTTGAAATATAAATCTTGACTGCGGTGAAGAGAGATTAAGTACCTGTTTGGGAACAGCGTTAGCGATTAGCGTTAGCGTTTTGGAAAAGCTATCTACGGGCAGCGTTTAGCGTTAGCGTTTTCAAAGCGATCTGCACCGTTAAAATTTTATCCAAAATGCGAACGCTAATCTCTAACGCTATTCCCAAACAGCCCCAACTCATAGGAGAAAACTCCAGATCTGTTGTGAGATAGGGAAGGAAGATCTCACGCTCATCTTCCTGGCACTATGGAGAGAGACGAGAGAGAGAGAGAAACAAATTCAATTGAATATACAATTATGCCTTTAATTATGCCGATGGGAGATAAATCAAGACTGGTTGATCAAACTAGGGGGGGACACGGTACCGGTACGGTACCGTCACTGGCAACGGTACCGCCGGTACCCGCCACCGTCACCGGCGTCGTCGCCGTGTCACCGGTTCCGGGAACCGGTACCGGTACCTATTTTTTGGTAACGATACCGGCGGTACCAGTCCGGTTCCGGTACCGGTTAATTTTTTTTTTTTTGTTCATTTCAAATCCTGCAAAAAGTTAAAAAAAAAAGTGGGGGGCACACCTCTCAAACGGCTATTTAGCCGTTGAGGTGGGTGAGTGATTTTTTTTACATAAAAAATCACTCAATTTCTCAATCCATCTCTCATTCTCTCATTCTCTCAATTTATCAATCTCTCAATCTTATTATCTCTATTTAATTTTTATACATTTAATATTCATATAATAATATAAAAATTTTATACTTTAAAATTTTGAAGTTTTCAAAATTTTAATATATAAAATTTTGAAGTTTTCAAAATTTTAATATATAAAATTTCGAACTTTTTTCAAATTTTTCAAAATTTTAAATATTATTAATTTTTAAATATATTCTTTAATCTTTAAATAATTTAAATATATTCTATATTTTTTGAAATTTTTCCAAAAGTAATATAATATTTTAATATCAAAAAAATATATATTAAAATGTCGAGGGAGTCCGGTAGACGGTCCGTTGATATGGGCGACGTCAACCGAAGATTGAGTAAAGGCAAAGCTAAAGCCACCTCCGACGGTTCGACCTCACGCGGACACGGTTATCGAGGAAGACACTCCGACGGTTGCCATACATGTTTTCTTAAAAACTTGGTTTTATTGATTATTGTCAACAAGCATTAAACCCTCAAGCACGAGGTTTTTCAAGAAAAACAATTAAACGAGAAATTATTCGCTAGTATAAAATGAAAAAATTAATTTGGCAAATTTTTTTCTCAATTTTAATTCTCGTGTTGCTATTTGTTCTGATATTTGGGGTGAAACTTATCATAATTTGTCTTATATGGGTGTTACTTGTCATTGGATAGATAGTAATTGGATTATGCATAAACGTGTTCTTGCATTTCGTGATTTCAATGATCAGCATACTGCTGAAAATATTTTCCTATTGCTTCAGAGTATTCTACGGGAATATAACTTATCTGAAAAAGTTTTTTCATTTGGTTTTGATAATGCTACTAATAATACTGCTGCTATTCCTAGACTTAGAGAAATTTGCCCACCGTCTACGACTATGGGTAGATTTCTGCATCAACGGTGTGCCTGTCATGTTTTAAATTTATGTGTTGAACAGGGACTACAAGCTATGGGCGGAGTTTTGACAAATATTAAAGAAGGAATTAAAAAAATTTGGGGGGCTCGTCTTATTTCGAGATCCTGGAAGATGTTCTGTAAGTCTAAGGGTAAAAAAGAAATAAGTTTTGCCAGAGATATCAACATTACATGGAATAGTATTTACAAATTGATTGCACAGATCCTAAGATATAAAGAGGAACTTGCTGAATTTTTTAGGGATGAACTTCGTATAATCATTAATCCTTTTGAATTTGTTATTGTTGAAAAATTGAATGCCGTATTAGAAGTTTTTAATAACGCAACTCTTACTTTTTCCCATGTTTACCAACCAATTACAAATACATTTTTTAAAGAGTGCATTACAATCGCAACATGTTTTCGTGAAAGTATGGCTGATCAAGATTTGTACCCTTATGTCTCTCCTATGAGAGATAAATGGTGTACTTATTATTTGTACATTCCTGATATTTATAAAATAGGTATTATTTGTGATCCACGATTTAAGATTGAAAATTTTAAAATTCTAATTGAGTATTACTACAGTTGTTTTTTAGATAAAAATAGTTATTACTACAGCTATTTAGTAGAATGGAAAAATGAAAGATATAATGTTATAACTCTTTTTGAGGATTTGTTTAAGGAATATCAAGGGTTATACGGTACTGTACAAGAAGAAACAGCACCACCTCCGCCCCCGAAATAAAAAAAAGGTTTTGCCGGCATAGTCGGTGGCCTTCTTGCAAAGAAAGGGAACGAACTTGCTATGTACCAGGGTGTGCCATGCGATTACGATGACGACGATGTCGATTTTGACGTGCTCGGATGGTGGAAGCGGAACGAACACATGTTCCCATGTCTCGGCATGCTAGCAAGACAAGTGTTGTCCGTCCAAGTATCAACCGTAGCAGTTGAACGAGAATTCAGTGCTGGCGGCAACATTCTAACCGACTACCGAAGTTGTCTTAACGCTGAATCTCTTGAAACACTGGTTTGCAACCAAGATTGGCTCTTGGCAAGACGCCGGGCTCAAGAGTCATCGTACCAACTCGAATCGGAGCATTACATGAATGCAACCACAGATGGAAGTCCGAGTTCTGAAGAATAAGTTATAAAAAATTTTTATGTTAATGTAAATATGTAATTAATTTTTTTAGGTGAGCGATATATAAGCTCTTTCGAGGATTTCTTTACGGTTCTTTACCTCGTCGGTTTTTTTGAACCGTCAGGATATTAAATGTGGTTGTTTTTCAGTTAGTGTATTACTCATTTTCAATATTTAAATAACAACTACATTTTTAGATTTTTTTTATTTCATTCTTTCCTTAAACAACTGCAAATTTACAATTTTATACTTTAAAAATTTTTAAAAAAAAGCAAAAAAAAAAATAGGGGGGGGAGGGCGAACCCGGCCGGTCCGGTACCGGAACCGCCGGTCCGGGAACCGGAACCGGTACCGGCCGGCACGGTAACAATTCCGGTTACTTGGGGTGGCGGTACCGGCGGTTCCGGAACCGTACCGTGTCCATCCCTAGATCAAACGGTAGATATTTATTCTTATTTCTTTCATTAGATCTTATTCTTATTTGAACCAAAATCTATATATATATATATATATGTGTGTGTGTGTATGTATGTATATATATATATATATATATATATATATATATATATATATATATATATATATATATATATATATATATAACCCAAACAAACTAAGGTACAGTTTCCCATGGAAGGAAGGTCAAAGAGGGAAAACAAAGAAAGCATAAAAAATTTAAGCTCCGACGGGTTCAACTGCCTCTGCCACGGAATCTTCTGCAGGCCGGTCAATCTTCATGCCGACATCTTCCTGACCTCCATGAGCCTCCATTAGCCTGCTGAGGTCAAACTTAGGAGCCTTAAGGATTTTGACCTTGCGGATAAAAACATTCTGGAGAGGGTAGATGTGTGTAGTGGCCTTCTCAATCTCGTTACCAATCGATTCGGGAAGGAACTTCTCTACAAGACCCTTCAGATCAGTACCCTGCGCACTGTTGGCCATGATCTCTACCATCTTGCGGCGGATCCGACGAATCTGGCTGGATTGTGCATATCATGTTCTCTTTTGTTGGTTACTTCGCTTCTTAGTGAATCCAATGCAGAGCATTCTTAAGATATAATTATATACTCATATATTTTTGTTAATATTGAACGGTCGGTTACAAGCAGGGGGCCTGAGGCCCGTTAACCTCGTGACTACCCCGGGACCCGTTAACACCCGAGGCAGATAGCCTACTATAGAAAGCCCAAAGTAAGTCCAATCTAAAGCCCAGCCCCATAAGCCGAAATCTACTTCCCAAGGGGTCACCCATCATTTCTGCTACTCCCATGCCAGCACGCTTAACTCTTTAAAATTTCTCCAAATTTACATCTTCTGGGGATCGAATCCGGGTTGTGTGGTTCGCCAATCAACCCTGTGACCATCTCTACAGGGGGGAACCACACACACACACACACACATTATTTTTTTTATTAAAATGTCAAACTTTTAAAACAGTGGACCAAAAAAAATCAAAACTGGATAAATACTTAGGGACGGAGGTAGTATGTATTTTAGAATACGGAGTAGTTAAAAGTTTAAATTATAGTTACAATATTATATTTTTTAATGTTTTTTGAAAAGAAATCATTTTAGAATTTTTTATCAAAATATATGTTATATAATTCCACTTTATGCAAGATATGACACAAGAGGACTTTAGCTAAGGTGGTGGTTTGGCGTATATAGTGAATGGGAGATCTAGGCGTTAAATCCCTATAGAGTAACATTTTTGGAGGATTTTTGCAAAAAAAAAAAACCAGCTTCCGCTTCAACCGGGCGGGTTCTGCCGATTTTTTCTGGTTCGTAGTAGAGGCGGTCTTTTGGCCCGGACTGGACTTGTTTGTGGAAATCGATTTACACCCTAAGAGGGGGGGGGTGAATTAGGGTGTTTGAATGTTTTTCGCAAAAACTAAAACTTATGCGAAAGTAGTAGCGGAAAAAGAGCAAGAACAATATAAAAGATAAAAGTACGACACAAACGATTTTATACTGGTTCAGGAACTCCCTACTCCAGTACCTCGAGGCTCCTCCTCAAGGATTTAACCTCCATTTACTTGTTTGGTTTCACTAAGAAGACTCAAACGAGGTTTGGCAAACAACCATTGCCAATAAGCAAATGAGATTTTACATCGGCTATCTCAACCGTTTACAACTGAAGATTTTAAGGCTATCTTCAACCTTACAATGAGGATTTAAAGGCTATCCACACCTTTTACAAATCAATTGAAAGATTGGTGTTGCTTCTCTACCAAAAAGATAACAAATATGAATTGGGTAGGAGAAGAACAAAAGATTAAATCAACAACAACAAAAGCCTATAGGCAACATATAAAATAGTGAAGCACAAATGCCCTTTTGTGTGAGTGTATAAAAATAATGAAAGCTTTTTACTCAAAAGAGTAAGAAAAATAAGAATAAAGCTTTAAGAACACTCAAGAATAGAGAAAGAGGCTTTAGATTTAATTGGGAAGTTGTTGTTATTAAAATGAAACTTAGAGGGGGTTTATATAGGAGTTTGGAATGTTAAAATATGAATTTTTAACCTTAAATGCCGTTAGAAAGTGATTAGGGGTGATTTGAATTTAAATTGGCAATTTGCTACAGTGATTACAACGGATCCGGTACCCTTTACGGTAGGGTCAATACCGTCCGGTACCTAGGTACCGTGACCACGGTACGGCCTACCGTGTGGGGGTACCGTATAGGCCAAAAAATCGGTTCCTCTCTGGCGGTACCTGGTTAGGACGGGGGTGGCCGACCGTTTGTGCCTACCGTCCGGTACCCAAGTACCGTTACATAGTAGGGGGTACCGTGTACCTCCTAAGTGAAACGTACAACGATACGTTCACTTGGCTACCGGCGGTACCCTGGTGCCGTGTACACGGTAGCCAGGTACCGTTAGGCCTGTGTAAAAATTCCAAAACTTGTTTTTCGTATTCCGTTTTCAAAATAATCCCAACTAAGAATATATTTGACATTTTAAAAATAATTTTTGAGTGAAAGGGCATAAGTAAATCATTAAAATATATCATTACCTTTACACAATAATTTCTAAACTCGTAGGAGTATGTCTCTTTGATGCTAAACAAGCTAATAGAGGTTTGGCGTTAGTTTTCTTCTTGCAAATGATGTTAGTAGCATTTGGAAGACTGATTTGGCACATCAAAACGGTTACGGGGTACGACATTCAAGGCCAACAATCTCCCCCTTTTTTATGTTGACAAATAAGGCTTTCGAATATAATAATCAAACGGACAAACATATCGTGCAAAATATGTATTGATTTTAAAACCCCCCAAAGTTGATGCACGTGATAATTTGAAAAAAACTTCCCCTAAATGTATGCATATGAAAGCCTAATATTTTTCCCCCTTTTGGCAACAATCAAAAAGGTGGGGTACCAAAAATATAGGTTTCAACACATAGGCATTCATCACGGCAACAATTATAAGCATCAAGCATTATCAAGCCATAAGCAAGCAAATCATAAGCATAATCATGACAAAGGAGTTTGAGTCATACAAGTGCATAAATAAGAGTTTGAAACATAATAAAGAGTTTAAAAAACTTAGGCAAAATACATAATGTTTGATCATATTGTCAAATGCTCAACACTTAGTGACGACGTCTAGAAGCACGATCCTCATTTTGCTTTTGGCGATTCTCCCGGTCCTCCATCTTCTTCATCCTATCCGAGAGGTCATCAAGGCTTTCTTGAAGTTTCTTCATCAGAGCCACCACAGTCTTGAGGATGAATTTCTTGAACTTCTTGATTTTTGGAACTAGAGGCCATATGGGAGTGACGGTGCAAGAGAGAGGCCGAGGAAGCATGAAACGCCGACTATGAGCGTTTGACCCGAGGAGCACGAACGGGGACCTCTGTGTTGGCATTGTCTTCGGCTTTGGCCCTTGGTGCTCGTGAAGTGGATGGCACGGAGGACAAGCATCGTCGAGGGCCATACTCCGCTCGTGTAGCTTCATCATGATTTTGGAACTTCTTCTTCATGTAGTACTCCTCTCTAATCTTTACGAGGCCACAATAGCCAAGACACTCCGCGTCAAGATAGCGGACACGAGAAGGGCGCACCTCAAGAATTTCCCTCTTGGCAAAGATGTGTGTAAGAAGCATTTCATAGGGGTTGTTTTGGCGATTTGAGCACTCGTGCATGTGTCTTAGGATGATGGAAGGGAGATTGATTTTCTTGTGAGTGAGGAGGAGATATAGGAGAGTGCATTCATAGACCCCGACTTGTTTATCTTTGTTAAGGGCGGGGATGACATTTTCTTTGAGGATTTTGAGGAGGATGAACCTATTTGCTGTTAAGTCTTAGACATTAGGCCGATGAAGTAGGTAGTGCGGATCCTCAAAGACATGGTCAGGGGCAATGTCATTTAGCACTCGGAGGCAAGACTCGGAGTCGGAGTCACGTGATTCGGGAATCCACCCCTTTATGCAATAGGCGGAGACTCCTTGACGCCCTAGGTGAAACCATTCGGAAAGATTTTGGGTGTTGAATCCGACTGTTTTGCCGGCAACTACGGCGGTAATGGAAGGGTCTTCGGGATGATATCTCATTGAAGAATAAAATTGATGAACAAGTTCCGGGTAAACGGGGGCTTGGAGTTGAAGAAAGAAACTCCATCCTTGTTCTTGAATGAGTTCAAGAACGGGAACCGGGATGTCATCTTGTTTTAGGGTTCTCCCCTCGATGATGTGTGGGTCGGCGTAAGCCTTGAACCCATCTTGAACATTGGGTTGAGCATTGGTTTGAATATTGGAAACAATTTCACTCATTTTGGAGATTTTGAGAAAATTGGTATAATTGGACGAAAAATGGGAAAAGTGAGACCAAATACACGAATTGAAGAGAGTATATGAAGTAATTGATGAATTGAATCAAATATATGAAGAGATTTAAGAGATTGGATGAAGAATTACCTAGGTTGAGGAAGGAACCAACTTACGGGAGAGAGAGACGGGAGGAGACGCCGGAAAGTGCAGCGGTCGAAAGAAAGGAGAATGAGAGGAATGGTAAAAAACTAGGGGTTTTTTAAAAAAATTGACCTATCGCGACGGTCGGTACCTAGGTACCGTGTTAATGGTACCTTGGTACCGTGATCCGGTATAGCGTACCGTGTCAAGCTACCGTGTAGCATTAGAAATTCAATCTCCTCTGGCAGTATCTGCGTTATGGCGGGACCTAGGTACCGTCAGGGGTACCGTGTCTCAGCTTAATGTTTTGTTTCGACTTCTAGATGCGTGTTTTGAGCATTTGGACTTGATGAATTTATTTTTCTAATATAATGGGTTAATAAGAACTTTAAATTTCACTTTAATTCAAGCATTCCCATTTCCTGACAAATATGTAAAAATTGTTTTTCATCCAATGGTTTTGTAAAAATGTCGGCACATTGTTCAAGTGTATTTACATATTAAATTTGAATATCTCCCTTTGAAACATGATCACGTATGAAATGCTGTCTTATTTCTACATGTTTAGTTCTAGAATGCAAAACGGTATTTTTGGAAATAATTATTACACTTGAGTTATCACAAAAAATAGGTACTTTTGAGATTTTTAAATTGAAGTCACTAAGTGTTTGCATCATCCATAAAATTTGAGCAACACAACTACCCATAGCCACATATTCAGCTTCGGCGGTGGATAGGGCAACAAAGTGTTGTTTCTTAGATGACCAAGACACTAGTGCATGACCTATGAATTGACATGTGCCACTTGTGCTTTTCCAATCAATAAGACACCCGCCAAAGTCAGCATCTCTAAAACCTGTCAAGCTTAAATTCTTATTCGCTTAACGGCATTAAGATGTAATTCTTTAGGTGATGATTGGAAACGTGCACAAAGGCAAACGGAAAACATTATATCGGGTCTAGATGAAGTTAAATAAAGCAAACTACCAATCATACCTCGATATACCTTTTCATTTACGGGTTTTCCGCTTTCGTCGTTGTCAAGCTTCAAAGATGTGCTCATTGGTGTTGGGTATGTTTTTGAGTCTTCAAGGTTGAACTTCTTGACTAATTCTTTGGCATAC